ACCTTTCTATGTTTCTCTCTTTCTAGACACTCTCAGAAACTATGGGTTTGCATTTGCAAACTGTATTTTTAGAACTAAACCACATTCTGCTGTTCAAGGAAATCCCAGGGAGCAATAACCTACTTTGACAATTCAGGTTCAGTTACATGCAAACATTCATCTTTATTAATTAACTTCACCAAAACATTACTTAGTCAATGTTCCAAATTTTGGACTGCAGATTGGCAAATAGAAAAGAAATGTAACACAGAAAAAAACCCAACTTACTATTATTTGAAACCAGTACTAAGATGACATAAACAGACATTCTTTTCAAGTTCACACCAGAATCCTTTTTAATTAAAAATAAAATGAGGTCTTCAAACAATGCAGAAGTACACAAAGTCTGTTGACAATACACTGAAAACAGAAAGGGAAAACCATTAAGTCCTAAAGTAAGCTACTCACAATACTAAATTATTAAGTCTCAGTTGTGGCCACTATGTGGCGAGTGGAGACAGGGCAGGACTATGAAGTGACTGGGGGCTTCCCCTGCAGTGAGCTCTACACCAGCCAGGACTCTGGCAAGCTTTGGAACAATCCAGGCGTCACTGAACACTTGCTGCTGAGGCAGAGGGAGAGTGCAGGTGTCTGGCACTTAAAGACACTCTACGTGCACAAATCAACAAGGCACTTTTCAGTTCTGGGGATGGACAGGGCACCTTCACTGCCCTTGCTCCAACTGACAATCTTGTCGTCTCATTTTGGGAGACCAAAAGAAATGGAGACAAAGCAGGAGCACAAGTAACGTCAGGGGGCCATAGTGCACTCAGAAATACAAACAATATTATTTTTATTACCATCACTCTCTATAATAATCCCCAATGTAAATAAAGCTGCTTCCTTTACGATGCAATGAGCACTCGCCTTGGCAAGGTCATTTATAAACATCAAACCACCAATTTCTCGAAAGTATTCGCTTGCTTCACCTACAAGAGCAAAAAAGAACAGAAACTTTGCTTTTGTTTCTCTGCAAAATGAAAGGCTCCTAAGATTTTCCAGCATCTCAAACCTTATGTCCTTTAGACAACATTTTTACAGTGCAGTTTCTTAGCATACATGGTGAACATAAATGACTGTGTTGTTTCCAAGGAAAAGCCTTTCTTACTGTTTTGTTGGCAAATGGAATAGATAGTGATCAAAGCCTCCTTCTGAGACAGAGGGCAGTCCATCTGATATTTAAGGCATTCAAGCAGTAAGTTCAGATCTGTTTTCATATCTAGGAGCAAACACAAAAAAAATCATTAAAATTGTTATATTTTCTATATATGAATCTAGTCAGTATTAGAATAAACCTGTCCAAAATGTAGTATGTACATATATTTTAACAAAGGGGAGAAAGTGAGCCAAAATGGAGCTACCTCACTTCTATTCAGCCACAAACTACAAACCTAGAAATATTGCTGTCCATAGTTTGTTATTTGAGCATGATTTCCTCGACAGCCCCCACCGGGCTGAGGGATGGGATCTCCTGGCTGAAGGACAGCGACAGCCCCCACCGGGCTGAGGGATGGGATCTCGCGGAGCTGAGGGCAGCGCCCGGCCCAGCCCCTCAGGAGACGCCGCAGCCGCAGCGCCGCCCGAGCGCCTCAGGGCGCGGCCGCCCTTGGACTGGGGACAGCCCTGAGCCTTCTCCCGGCCAGGCGGGAAGCACTCGGAATTGCAGAACCATCAGGGGTGAAAGGGATCTTTAAGACCATCCAGTTAAACGTCAGCCAGCACTGCCACTGCAAACCCTAAACCACTAAACCATTCCCAGTGTCAGATCCAGAGGCCTCTTTAACACCTCCAGGGATGGGCAGCTCCACCACCTCCCTGGCCAACCTATTCCCAGGCCTGAGCACCTGAACAGTTTAGAAATTTTTTTTTCTAAATTCTAACCTGAATTTTCTCTCAACGTGAGGCCACTTCCTCTGGTTCTCACTGCAGGCCGAGCAGGAGAGAGCGGCCCCACCTCACCGCACGCTCCTGTCAGGGAGTTGGAGAGAGCAGTGAGGTCCCTCGTGAGCCTCTTCTCCAGACTGAACAAACCCAGCTCCCTCAGCTGCTCCTCATGGGGCATGTTTTCTAGACCCTTTGTGAGCCTTGCTGCCCTTCTCTGGACACCCTCAGCCCTTCAATGTCCTTTTTCACGAGGGGCCCAGTGCCGGGCACAGCACTCGAGGTGTGGCCTCAGCAGTGCCCAGCACAGGGCCAGGCACTGCCCTGGTCCTGCTGCTCACACTGCTGCTGATACAGGCCAGGTGCCCTTGGCCTCTTGTCCCTTGGGCACACTTTGGCTCACACTGACGTGGCTAGTGACCTGCAGGATGTGGCACTTGGCCTTGTGGAACCTCACGCCTTTGTCCTTGGCCCGTTGATCGCGTCTGTCCAAGTCTCACTGCAGAGCCTTCCCGTCCTCTAGCAGATCCACATTCCCACCCAACTGGGCATCTGCAAATTCACTCAGGGTGCTCTCAATCCCCACCTCCAGATCATCAATAAAGATGTTAACCAGGACCAGCCCCAAAACAGAGCCCTGGCAAACACATTTCAATGCTCTGCAGTTGGAGGCTGCAATGCCCCCACAACAGAAAGAGCTGCCATCCCTTGGCATTGGCCACACACACAGGTGCAGGAAAAAACCTTTTACTAGGTGAATATGGCTGACAGAACTGACTTTCAGGCACACACTCCCTTTCCCTAATGACCCTGAACTCTATAAAAGGTATTTCACCTCCCAGCTCTTTGCACCATTGGATCCTCAGACCATCAGAGCTCCACCAGCCTCTCTCATCCTTTTGCACCTTCTCCCCACTCAAGCTGATGAGCAACTTCTATAAGAAAAAATGCAGTTCTGCTGCCAGTGAGGTGAGCCAATTTGCAAATGCGACTTACCCTGCCAAAAACAGCTACTGCCTTTTTCTTTCAGAGGTGAGTCATCAGAAGTAATGAAAATGTGTTGCATTTTAAACCAAAGAGGAAAAGAAACGAAAGCACTCACAGAGGATTCGACAAAAGCCAATATATGCCAATATGGCTTATTCTGTTGGCTGCTCAGTTATTGCAACCCTTTGCTACCTTACCATTTGTCTTGTTTGGAGATTGTGCGCAGATAGTTCAGTGATGGATACAACAGGAATGAAATAAATCATAGCTGATTGTGAAATAATACAACTTAGGAAAATTTAATAGATTGTGAAGTATTTACATCATGGTGATGACAGTTATCACATAGAGACTAAAATAAGCCCTTTTAACAAAACTTAATTTTTATCCTTGTACCTCAAGCCCCACTATCATTTGGATGATGTATTATAATGTAAAAGTACTGTCCAATATCTTGTATTGTTTATACTTTCCAACACTTCTGTTGTGTTTTCTAAATGGTCTGAGTATTTTTTAGTTGGAAAAAATATATATGATTTTGATAGTAACATTGCAGTTCTGTGTTTCCTTTTGGTACTCAGCTGAAAAAATAAGGAAAAGAAAAAGAGCACAAAAAATTGCAGAGTTGAGCACATTACTGCTGCCACTGCTTAAGAGCATCTCTCACAAAAAGCAGACCAGCTACACTGTCCCAGCTCCGTCATTTCAACTCTCCATGTCTTGTTTCCTGCTGTGTAAAGCTGAATTGAGCAATTTTTACCTAGGATGAATAACAACTAGTAATACACACTTACAGTTCTCTTGTATTACTACACCAGCGGTAGGTACCCTTAGAATTTTTTAGGGTATTGCAATGCCATCCTTTAATTTAAACAGGTTCAAGATATTATTTGTAGCTTATTCTTTAATTTGTAACAAAAGTAAAAAGATTACTGCACATGGTCAGTTGTCATATTGCACTAAGCGGTTTGTTTGTATCACATGGTTTGTTCTCGCACCCCTTCCCTTCGAGCCCTGTGGTGGTGGTCTTGCCCTGGGTTACTCCCTCCCCTCGCCCTCCCTTCAGCTGTATCCCATTGGCTATGGCCCCTCTCCTCCGCCCCCTTCTCCGCGGGTTTAAAATCTCCCACCGTCACACAAGCGATCTCTTTCCCCTCTCGGATTCCCTGGAGTAGTGCTGCAAATAAAGTAGTGGGACAATCATCCTGAGGAGAAAGGGCGCCTTTCATCTTTTGCCTTTGTTCATGTCGGCGAAGCCCAGGGTCCAGAGCTAGCCAGGGGACCCCACGAGACCTCTCAAACCGACAGTCAGTAACTGGACTGTTGTGTGTATGGGATGCACACGATGATTTCAGTACTGCTTCATTCTGTGTGACTTCAGGCTTTGAGAAAGAGTAATCCCACTTGAGAAGTATTTACATCATGGTGATGACAGTTGTCACATAGAGACCAAAATAAGCCCTTTTAACAAAACTTCATTTATATCCTTGTACCTCAAGCCCCACTATCCATTTGTTTTGCTGATGTAGTATAATGTATAAATACTGTTCAATATCTTGTACTGTTTATAAATTCCAACACTTCTGTTGTGTTTTCTAAACAGTCTGAGTATTTTTTAGTTTGAAAAAAATTGTGGGGGCTGAAGAATCAGCTGACAAAGAGCTTGCCGCACTCCTGTGGAGGGCTCACCCTTGAACCACAAGCTTTTCAGTTAGGGTGAGCAAGTCAGAGGCCTTTGCAGTTTTTATGTTGATTTTTTGTTACTCATTGGTCCCTTTCCCTATATACCGCCCCTTACCTTCCCTACATAAACCTGTTTTTCCCCAGTTGGAGGAGCTTCTGTTCCTGGCTCATTTCACAGAGGGCCATGCCCTTAATAAAGGCTGTTACTCTGTGGAACGCCATACAGACCTCCAATCCCTTCTTCCCTGTGTTGCCTGGGAGCTGCAGAGCGAGCTGAAAATCACTTGCCGGCCTGGGAGAAGGACGTGTCTGTGCCACTGAGCCGTCCTTCTAAGGACGTCTTTTTCAGGAAGGTCGCAGCACCCTTACCACCACCAGCTGCGGGGGCAATTAGAACCCATCGTGTGGCATTGAAGAGCCCCTGAAGAAGCGTCCGCTGAAGAGTGATCCCCTGTTGGGATCGCCATCCCTGAATGAGAACCCCTTATGTTTCAGGAAGGACTGTCCGAGGGGGACACTCCCTGCGGAGACACTAGCGACCGGGACACTCCCTGCACATTGTAGGAAAAAAGAGGAGAAGATCCCCTGAGGACCAGCCACCAGGTGACCCCCCGCCCACCAGTTTTCCATTGGCCCTGCAGGCATCGGCCTGAAGAAAAACAGTGAGGTCTATATATTCAAGTCTTTTTACTTGTTCGGGCCTTTCCACTTTTGTTTTCCTTTTACTGCTGGGTGGGGAGTGGGAACACCAGGATGGGAAATCAGCTTAGCTGACCTAAGCTCAGCCCTCCTGAGAGAGACTTTTACTGCCAAGTTGTGGATGCCCTTGTTGCAGCAAATTTGAACTTTTCAAAGGGAGGTTTGAAGAGATTTGTTCATTGGATTTTTAAGTGTTTTCCTAAAGCCAATTGCAATTCTTTTTATTTGGGTTTGTTTTGGGATGAAGTGGGGAAAGAGTTGCATTCAGTTCAAGCCAACAGGGATTTTTCAGTTGTCAAGTTTTTTCCTCTGTTTCACCTTATTGTACAATCCGTTGATAAGCTGGGAAAGGTTTTGGGGAATGTTTGGGAAAAGTTTTGAGGCCCCAGTTGAAAATCCCTTCCCTTCTACCTCTCCCTGTGTTCCTAAACCCTCTTCCCCATCCCAGGGACAGTCAGGGGTGGTTATTGCCAACAGGCACAGGGTTGCTGCTGTCTCCCTGACATCCCCCAGTCGCCTCTCTCCCCTCACCAGAACAGCACTGGTCATGCAGCTCTGGATCTTTCCTCTAACCTCCTCCCTATGCCCACCTACCCAGCTGCATCTTCCCCAGTTTGAGGTTCTACACAAGATGGCACTGGCAACATGGCCAGACCCACCATTTTGTTTTCCCCACATCCAAGTTTTCCTGCCCTTCCACCTCGAAATGGCTACTTTACTGCCTCTTCCTCTCCTCTTCCCACACTTCCCACTGCGTCCTGCCCTGCCTCCCTCCCCACATCATCAATGGGTGTAACCGTGTCGGGACCCTTCCCTTCCACCAGGAAACCCCACCCCATTGCGGACCCAATCCACTCCCCCTCCAACATGAGCTCCTCCCCTGATGGCCCATCCACTTCCAGTTCCCACAACACTGGGACTGGAAGTCAGGATGAGGGTGACCAGAAGGAGGCCATATTGGCTTCCACTGCCTCACAC